GACGTTTTATCTTTTTTCTTCGTGTTGTGAAGGTAGGCGTGAAGTGGTGCTTGGATTTCAGCGGCTTTAGGTATGTGTTCTCTGTAAAAATTTATCATCCCAAGAAAACGCCTTAGCTCTTCGATAGTTTTAGGTTTTGCATAATCGATGATTGCTCTGACTTTTTCGGCAGGCGGTTTTATTCCTTCCTTGCTGACGGTGAAACCAAGAAATTGAACTTCTTGCTGTCCAAATATGCATTTCGAAGGGTTGATTGTGATTCCGTTGTCTTCTAATCGCTGTAGCACGGTGCGTAGATGGGTTTCGTGCGTTTCTTTATCAGGGCTTGCAACAAGGAGATCATCAATAAATGCGAAAACGAAATCCAGTCCATGAAGTACTTCGTGTATGAATCTTTGGAAAGTTTGACCTCCGTCTTTAATCCTGGGATCATTCTTGGGAATTCGAATAATCCCATTGGGGTAATTATTGCTGTCTTCTCTATGTCTTCATCGCGGACTCTTATTTGTTGGTAAGCTCGGTTGAGATCGATGGTGGAGAATATAGTATATATATCCGGTCTGAGCAGGGGGATGATGTAGCGGCGCTGTCGTCGCGCCACAAGCGAAATACACCGAAGCTTAAATCACGCTATCAACATTCCGAATCATAGACAGTATATATAGAACTTCTCCGAACTATCACTCGGAGTGTTGGCCGCTCCCCCGGGCAGAACACCTTGCCCGGCGGGAGATCTCCCCTTTTCCTTCCACGGCCACAGGAGGAAAGGGAAAGAAACCCGCGGACGATGCGGGCGGTATCGAGGAGCACCGCCTTCTGCATTTGAGCCCGTAGCAGTCACTCACGGAGTCCCAGTCGCCTCAGATGACCCAAGAGGCTGACCGGATTAACCCATTCGCAGAGACGACTACAGGAATAATTTCGGCCGGCAGACCACCCCACATGTTGGTCACCTCGTGAGCCAGGTCCAGATATTTTGTTCGTTTATCTGTTTCGGCTTTCACGAGGTTCTTGTCATACGGAATGGTAATGTCAACCAAAAATATCCTTGACTGTGCCCGGTCCATCAGCACAATATCATGCTTATTCGCAAGAATAGTCCTGTCTGTGATGATGGCCAGGTCCCATTAGAGCCTGGCGCGGTCATTTTCGAGCACGGCTTCCGGCAAGTACTTGTAATACGGCAATTTCCGGTCCACGAGACCGTATTTCAGAGTGAGCTCCTGGTGTAGAATTCTGGATACTAGGTTGTGCCTGTGTAAGTACTCAGACTTAGAAAGCGTCGAACAACCGGAGATGACATGCCTAAGTGACTCACCGGGATGGCGACAGGCTCGACAGACGTCGACGGTGCCATCCTTTAGTATGTATCTCCGATAGTTCATCATCATTCTCTAAACCATTTCCCATTATCTGGGGTCGGCGCAGTAAATCTTCTTGTTCCATTCCTCTCTATCAGCCGTCATTTCCATACTTACTCCTTTCATTCTCATATCACTCTTCACACAATCGATCCATCTTTTATTCAGCCTTCCTCTGCCCGTGTGTCCCTCCACATTCATATTCAACACTCGTTTTGTGACATGACTTTCATCCCTCCGCATCACATGCCCAAACCATGCCAATCTGCTTCCTCTCACCTTTTCTACCACTGGCGCTACTTTCAGGCTTCCTCTTATATACTCATTCCTTATCTTATCCATCCTTGTCACACCACACATCCATCGTAACATTCTCATTTCATTCGCATGCAATCTATTTTCATCCTTCTTCTTGACGGCCCAGCATTCACTTCCATACATGACGACAGGTCGGATGGTCGATTTGTAAATTTTCCCCTTCAGCCTTATTGGCATTCGAGGATCGCACGTTGTGGCTGTGACCTGTCGCCATTTCATCCACCCTGCGTTAATCCTATGCTGCACATGTGTATGTATCTCCGATAGTTGTTGGTCTTAATAACCTGGTCCTGTATTGCACAGAAAAAACTCTCGGTTTCCCCGAAAAGGTCACCAAAACGTAGCCAGTTGAGGGAGGCGACTGTATATACGAAGGGCTCATATAGAGCCATGTAATACCTCCTGTGGAGCTCCTTCTCCTTCCATACTGTCTCCCTGTCGGAAATTAATTGTACTGCCGGGTCCTGCCATTGTTCGTTGGCTAAGGATGGAGGGGTAATTCCTTTATCACTAGAAATAACGTGATTATAGAATGCATTATCCGATCTTGCCAGGAAGTAATTACGGAGGCTGCACACTTTGCGAGAGCGCGGTCAGGAAGCCACGCCTACAGTACAGCTTCATTATTGACGATCTCGGATGATGCATCCTATGGGACGTCATTGTAGTGCGAACCTTTCTATCCAGGGCGTTAAGTTCAGTCTGAGTCCACCTGAGTATGACAAAGGTGTACATGAGGACAGGCATGACCTAGCCGTTATATGCGTGTGCCTTATTTACACCGGACAAAAGGCTGTTAAGCACTTTGGTCAAGGGTGCATAAAACATGTCGCAAACTGACTGTTTCTTACCAGCCTCATCGATACCGATGTTCTGTTACATATCCAGGTATCGGTATGTTTCAGCCTCGGAAAGTGTCCTTAAGTTGACGGGCATAGATAAGTCTATGCCCTCAGAGTTAGCAACCCGTCCCCTTTCAACATGGAGGACCGCACCCTTATCCGTCCCCAGCTCCATTCCAATAGAATTGCTAAATATTATATTATTATTATTATCATCATAATTATTAGTATCATCAATATTATATATATATATATATATATATATATATATATATATATATATATATATATATATATATATATATATATAATAAACAATTGTCTGTCTGTAACATCGATATGACTGCCTTATATTGAGCTTTCGGGGTAAACTGCATTTTATTAAGAGATGAATAACTATTTTAACTACTTTGTCTGTATATCTGTCTATCCTAGTCAAACTTCAGAATGGCTGAACCGGATGTAATTAAACTTCACGAACAGATAGAGAGAAATACTAGAAGTAATCTAGGACAAATAATATCCGAATAATCTGGAGATATTTTTAGGGAAATAGAAAAGTTGATAAAAGAAATTGTCATTGATTATTGTATTAAATATAAATAACGCAATATTAACGTGGCTGGTCGCTTGTATGGTACAAAATTAAACTTAACAATGTACTTTTAGATTAAGACTCAAACTTCGACGTCGTGGAGGTTGAATTGAGTGTGTGGTAGTGTTTAATTTATTTTATTAGAACATAGTGTTCAGTATAACTTCGCTAGCTATGGTGGGAAAATTGTTTTAAACTTTTTAGTTTTTTTAAGTACGGTTTGTATTACATGTAAAATTACGTGTACGTTTTAACCTTCCTCGGTTCTTTAAATACTATTTACACGTGAGGCCTTCGGGTCATGTTGACCCGATTTCAAAAATATGAAGCAATTGTTTTAAATTAAATACAAAATCTAATTATTTCTAAAACACATTTATTTAATAAAAATAAGGATACAATAAACGACTGTATTTGTATATTACTCATTTTCTTGGCAACACAAAAGGCATAAAATTTCAGAATGTTTCGGACATAAATGTTTCTTACATTTTTTACAGATTTTTAAGTTTTTACATCTTTTGAAGATGGACATACACTACACCTTTTTCTTTTATTAAAGCTCTGAGTAGTGGAAGTATTCGTTGTCTCAGTAACAACTGACTGCACTCGTAGTACTAATTCCAGTTAAGCATTTGTCCGAGGAAGAGTTTTCCTACGCTCGATGTGATCATTTACCAATTCCATGGATAATTTCTCTAGAAACAACCGTCTTTTTATTTTTCTCTTCCGTATCTCCAGTCTGGGTGGGTGTCACAGTATAATAAATAAGCATTGAAACATGAAATATCAATCATATTACGAAATATGGCTATTGGCCACCTTCTAGTCATTCGTTTACAACTATAGGCCGAAACCATTTTGTCTAGAAAATCAACAGCACCCTTTGTTGCATTATAGTCCATGATCATTTTTGGTTTCTTCTGCTCTGATTCCTGTATTTCTATTTTGTTGTGATTTGTGCTCAACAAAACTACATTTTTGTTTTTTTTTTCGGAATGTATGAGACAAGAACCATTTTAGAATTGAATGCAAAAGTAGATGAAAATACAGGTTTCTTCGTATCTAAAAGATCTACGGATATCTGTCACTTATTTTACAGCTTATTTATATATTTTCAGCTATATTTTCAGCTACTTCATAAGATATAAAAAATTATCACATGTAAGGTTGTAGCCCTGTAAACCTTCTGTCAGATCGAAAACTACACGCATTTCTTGATTTTTTTCCGGAGCACTTCCTTGAACTTTTCCAGTATAACACTGAATTGAACGCACGTATCCTGTTTCACTGTCACACAATATCCAAAATTTTATGCCATATTTACTTGGTTTGCTTGGCATTTAGTGTCGGAAAGGACATCGACCTCTAAATGAAAGTAACTGTTCGTCAATTGTGATTATAAATATTTGGATTATAAAACATAGGCAACAGCTTCACCCATTCATCCCACATACCTCTCACAGCTGCTAATTTGTCACTCTGTTTTGCTTGCTTGCTTTGCTTCTCGGTCAGAAAGTTTATCAAAACCCAAAATCGCAGAAATTTATTTGAAACGTTTCAGGGACATTGTTGCCTGAAATATAGGTCTTCCATAAGCTTCGGACCACAAGCTTTCTAAACTTTTATCGTTAGACTTGAAAACTCCAGCAAAAATAAGAATACCTAGATATGCATCTAACTCCGTTTCATCTAACGCTTACCATCCATTTCCGAAACGTAAAGAACCTTCTATATTTGTCTGCTTCAAAATTATAGATTTTATACGCTTATTTAGAAATAAATCAAAAGAACTTCTAAATGTATTTATGCGATTAGAAGCATACCTGGTAATGCCTGGTGTAAGTTTTATTAGGTTTGCACTACTCAAACGACCTCTGACTTCTAATGGGGTTCTTGACCATACAAATTCACCATTTTTGATAGCATTTGGTTTTCATTAGCACTGGTATTGGTAACATATCTCGAAAGAGGCTCCTCATCGCTATTGGTTTCGTCACTACTGCTTTCACTGTATAAACTGGGTTGAATATTGTCGCTAGGATTTTCATCCAAACTATTCTCCGTTTCACTAATTATTTCATCTTCGGAATTTATATCGTAGTTTACGATTTGCGAAGTTGCAGAATCAGGCAAATTGTGAGCCATTTCAAACACCATCAAAACACATCAAGTCCAAACAACGAATTAATCAAATAAAAGTAACTGTCACACGTAAATAATGCAATCTACGGCATACTAATGTAAATAAACAATTATTCTCAAAGTACCTTCAACAACAACACGCTAAGTAATATTAAGATAAATTAAAAAAGTGCCTTTCAATAAGTATTGTTATAATCTACATTGAATAAAAAAGTTTCTGTTTCTGTTTCTGTTTCTGATATTACTAACATTTATAAATTGTAATTGTATTTTTAGAATGCAATAAAGCATTATTGTTTGCAAAACACGGGATTTTCTGGCCCGCGGACCTGTTTCATACTTGGTTATTATTGACCCGAGAAACCTAAGCTGAAAAAAACTTTTCAAAAGACTTCACCAATTTTGCATAATAATACAGTGAATGCATAACTAATAATTGTCATTAATTCTTAGTAAACTATATTAAAAATTACGACTTTTATTGACAGTTAAATTTTAGTTTCGGGTCAATATGACCCGAAGAACCGAGGAAGGTTAAAAAGAAATAGAAATTGAATAGTCTGCATCCTATATATTGTAGTCTGAGCTTGCTCTTTGTGCAATCATGCAGCTTAATTTGAATTGCAAAAATTCTTGATGGCATTTAAAAATGGCTTTGTATAATTTAGCTTCGTTATAAATTCAATATTAAGAAATATTTAAATTTCAGTTTTATTTTACTAATCAAATTTTAAAGTTACAATACAAAAAGGCATGCTCAATGATAATGATAATCTAGGAATGAAATCCAGGAAATCTCTAATGTGTTGCAATTGTGTTCATTAGAAAATAACTATGATGAACTTAACTTATTTGTGATTTTAACTCTTTTCTTATTCAACGTTGGTCGTGTTAACTTTGGGCGTGGCATTTACTTTAAACTTCATACCACGCGACCGAATTCATTTCAATTTACTAGTGCCAGCACAAATTTTAATGTTATGGATAATTTTAATTTTGATTAACAACCAAGTAGCCAGAATTCTACACCAGGAACTCGCTCTGAAATATGGTCTCGTGGACCGGAAATTACCCTGTAACGAGTACTTTCCGGAAGCGGTGATCGAAAGTGATCGCGCCAAGCCAACATCACAGACAGGACTCTTCTTGCGAATAAGCCTGATATTATGCTGGTGGACCGGACACAGCGAAGGATATTTTTGGTCGACTTTACCATCCCATATGATAAGAATCTCGTGATAGCCACATTAATATAAAAACATTTAAGTTTTAAATAAATAAAAGCCTAAACAAATAAGAAAAATATCTGAACCTGGCTCACGAGGTAACCGACATGTGGAGTGGTCTGCCGACCGAAATTAATCCTGTAGCCGTCTCTGCAAACGGACTAATCTCGGTCAACCTCTCGAGTAATCTGAGGCGGCTAGGACTCCGTGACGTATAGCTCTGGACTTAAATGCTGAAGGCGGTGCTCTTAGATACAACCTACATCGTCCGCCGGTTTGTTTCCCTTTCCTCCTAACCTTCGGCCGTTTGGTTTCCTCTGTCGAGAGCTTCCATCTAATTGGCTTTTTATTTATTTACGTATTGTTAATGTATTTATTTCACTATATTAATAAAAGTATATTTATGCATATTTATCACTTCCATTTATATATTTATTCAGCCCAACCAGATGAGAAAACTAGATATCCCCATAATAAAAACATCCTTCACATCGAATATCAGTCACGGGGGTCAAACTCGACAAACACTAGTCGTCTGAATTGGACATAATAAAGAGCCTTGTGCACTTTATTACGTCCAATTCAGACGACTGCCCACTTCCTATTCCCTTTCTCATAAACCGAAGATATCGCTATCCAAAACGATTGGAGAGATATAATGATCAGGACCAATCGCTTTATGTACTGTCAGAGGTAAGTGGGAGGGGCAGGAAACGCTACTACTGAGTGTTTATTAATAACTTACTACGGAAATATCTAATAACTGATATGATCACATTAAATTGTACAACACGCGGGCTACACGGGCTCGATCCCGGACAGTGCATCTTAAACACGAGCTTGGGGGTTAAGGAAAACATAGTGAGTATCCTGCATGTCAGGGAAATGAAAAAATATTTCGAAGACAAGTGAAGTCCACCAAAACTTTTGTGGTTTAGTGAACTTCACTCGTATTTGAAACAAATTCGCAGCGATGTGACAAAACCGTCCCAGAAATGAGAGAAGACTTATGTCCAGGGTCTTATATACGCTGTTACGTTTTATTTAACGAATTTTATTTGATGTTTGACCCGGATTCTTGAATTATCAATAACAGCCTGTTTTAAAATTGATCCTGTCCTTGTCGAATAGTGATGGTACAAGAATGTCTACTCCAAATATTTTCCTGTGAGTTTTGTAAGAAGACAGAGGGAAACAAACATTATGAACGTGGGCAGCAGCAGTAACTACTTGAAGAAAAAAACTGCGTTTGCCAACGCGCCTGTCAAGCTTGGCAACTCATAGTGGTAACCTCTGCGTTGGCAGAGGTATAAGAGTATTTTTAAAGACACCGCTTTACCGATGCTCTCGTCAGTTAAAGGTAATAAATCCACACACAATTTGTAAACAAAAATTTAATTTAATTTAAGTTTTTAGGGTCGAATATTCTGAATTATGTTATTTTTAAACGCTTGAATACTGATTACAAAAACGTACAGAACGGGTATCGAAGGGCTTTTGTAAAACGCTGAATAAAATAAAATAAGAACATGATTGTGTGTAACGTAATTCTCGCGATGAATCCTCTCAGTTCATAAATTAAAGATAATTTGTTTAACAATGGGACACTATTTTTCTCTAGTGTCAAGAATAAATCCATTAGCAACAAAAGCGAGCTCTTCAGTGCGCGGCTGAAGTTTCACTATCATTATCATTAATCATGAAAGTGTTGTCACGCGTTCCTGACATCACTCTCATTGTGCAAGCATAAGTAAGTTCTCAACCACATTTGTAATTTGTGTAAGTAAAAAAATAAGTGTTGTTTTAGATGCGCATTGCATCTAGATTAAATATCAAACATTTTTTATTCAAGCAGTATGACAAATGTCGCATAATTCACTTGATGGTGAGTGGATGCGTGGTCTATAGAAATCTACATTTCTACTTAATTAATCAAAATGAAGATGAGTTGTCAACCCTGGTGACTAATGACAATCCATCTGTAGCTTTCATTGTTTGATGTTAACTGCAGGTGCCCTTAGATAGTAGTCGCTTTTTTATAAATTTCAAAATGGAGAGTAAGTGACAACCCTAGTTTAAGATTCATGCCTTCATATGTATTTTAATTAAAGTCTATGACTATGTTTGTTCATGATGTTTGTTCTGCTAATTTCCAAAACAACTGAACAGATTTTAATTAAAAATTTTAAATGTATAGTGCTTGCTCCACTATCCAGGATATAAACTATCGAATCCCTCAAGATGCGATAGTTTTTATCCTGATAAGTAACCCTCAACGTTTTTATTGCGAACTTAAGGATTTTTTATTAGCAAAAATGGTCTTCGGAAAGGGCAGAATAACGTCTGCCTTACCAGTTAGTAATTTTTTATACAAAAACATATTCTTTCTTTTGCAAACGTTCCCTATAACAATATTTCGTACATTCTGTGAATACATGAAACTAGCAAAAGTTAGTTATACCAGTTACTCGACTTCACAAAGTTGATCTTTCTCTCATGGGGTAATATATGCATATGATTTTTCAACAAAGTCGTAGAAAATATTCAATACATATCTATCAAAATTGTTTTTACTGTTATCGGAAAGATGCTGCTGCCCATCTCCTGTCTCAGTTTCCCTTTGTCGCCCCTTACGAAACCCACGGGAAGATATGGGGTAGCTCGTATTCTTACCCGCCAATACACGGGTTTTTTTATTAAGTAACACGGTATTCGTAGCAAAAGTGAGCAAGCTTTTACAGTGATTTTGACATGTTTAAATACATGCGGTGCGACCTTCGTCACGTCTTTGGCTCTTTGACATGGTTCAAATTTATTTTAGTTCCAGGGCAATATAATATATAACTCATCAGTTTAAATAATATATATATAACTAGAAGTTTGGAGCACTGAACAAAGAGATCGTCATAGTCGTAGAATAGTGACGGATCTGATAAATTTCACAGGACAGCCATTTAAAACAATTATATTAGATTTTTTGACATAACTTTTTTAATTCTAAGTCTGTAATCATGAAAATTGCCATACAAATAAAAAATTGGGTTTATTTTAAACTGTAATAAAAATAAAAACTCATAATTATACAGTTTTACAAAAAATCATTTTACTTTGGAGTCAGGACAGTCACAAAGTACTATCGGACGGATGTTACTTTCCAACCATGTTCTACCAACTTACTGAGTAATACTTTGGCGGATGAGTTATCGGTCATATTCTACGTTGACCATGGGTAAGTAGGTAGGCAGGTGGTGAATAAGTAAATAGTATATTAGTTAGATTGATATCATAGGTTGGGGTAGGTAGGGTATCTTATAAATAAAACAACTATATATACAGGTAACTTTGTTAATAGCTGTATTTTAAACCAGTTCTTATTTTTGATCTATAAAATCAAATAACAACAACTTATTTACGCTTATGACTTCATAAGAATCACCTGTTACTTTACCCCAACGTGCAAGTAATTTCCATTTATCTGATGGATAAATAGATTTATGCTCAGCAGCCCTTTCTATCACTTTGTGGACAGAACCCCCTTCGTTTTGAGTGTGACATTTTTCAAGAAATTTATAAGTTATATTTATATCATATTCTTTAGCTACATCATAGATAATAAATACTATGAAATTTCGATTCTGACCAGCGCTCTGACCGAAAGCGATACTCTTTCACACACTTTGAAACAAACTTCTTTATGTAGTTATAAACGCAACTGGCTACATAGTGGGCCTGAGTTTGGCAACACCTTCATTCCACATATAGAAATAACCTTGTTTG